ATAATCTCCACCACATCTGTAAACAATTTTCAGCACGTAGTGAGTGAAAGTGTGTTGTAGAGGAACCTGCTACATATTACTTTGAAAAAAGACACACTACATTTAGAATATTCTCTTGGTGATGTTGCAGCCTGACCACTGGTCCATTCTGCTCTCTCTGTCACGTAGGTGTCCTACTACACCTCTAAATCCAAGCAGGAGGAGATCGACAGCCACACCACAGATGGCTTCCCTTTATTCCTCATGACTTATGCCTTTGCTATCAGCTTGTCAGTGATATCCTGCCTGAGGTAAGAAGTCATCAGTGACTGTCACACACTGAGTGATCTTCTGACTGGTAGCCAAAAAAATGAAATAAATGCAGGATGCAGAGAGCTGTTTTTCATCAGTTTGAGGGATGGAACGACATACAGATTATGTAGAGAGCTTTGAATAATTTCATGCTTACTTTGAGGTAACAAAGATGATCTACCATGAATAAACAAGTCTTGATTTAGTGAAGTCTGCTGCAGTTTTGGCCTGAAGCTAACTGCATCTGAATGAGGAGTGAGAGAGTTCAAGTTTTATGAGTTTGCCAACATTTTATGACATTTATTAAATAATGTGGCTAATGTCATAGAAAATATCTTTTTTTAAAATTTAAATAAAAACAATCTTTTTATTTATAAAGTAAAGAGTCAGTTCAGATTTACTTAAAGTTGTGTCTTGTGTGTACATTATATTCAATCAATATCTTATCTACTTTAGATGACTCATTGAGCAACCCTAGTTTGGAGATTTAAAGTTTAATTCTGGCCAGATTAACAAGCACGTGGCTAGTCTGATTCTTAAATTTATTTAAACAATTTTATGTTTAATTATGACTTTTTTCAGAGTTCTGTACTTTAATAAGCTGATTTTTCAGACTGACATGATTTTTTTTTAGAAACTCTTAAACAATTTTTTGGATTATACGACGCATTAAGTGAAACAAAACAGTCAGATGAGTCAAATTTTATTCATCTCATTCACAATAACCACTTAAAATTGCTTCGAGGTCAGTAATCACTACGAGAATTAATACATAAGGCGCAGCTGATTATAAGCTTCACTGTCGATTTTTGAGAAAACTAAAGGATTTTAAGTGTGTCTTATAGTCCGAAAAATACGGTATATTTAGCTTGTATTTTGAGAATTACTTTTCTTTGGTATGTTGCGGTCTTGTGTGATTTTTATATCCAGTAGTTTAAATAAACACATTCCACAATATTTATACAATCTTTGCAGATCGGACAATGTGAGGAACAAAATGTGGTTGGCTGTTATCGGAGTTCTTTCCTCTGGAATGGCAGTCATGTCCTCATTTGGCCTCCTCCTTTACATCGGCGTGCCGTTTGTGATAACTGTGGCAAACTCCCCTTTCTTGATACTTGGTGAGGAATACACACTATAATTTTAGTTCTGTGCACAGTGTTTTAAAGGAAATGCTAAAATAGACATTTGTTTTTTCAGGAATTGGTCTAAACAACATGTTCATCATGGTGTCGGACTGGCAGCACTCCCATGTGAAGGATCCAGTACCAAAACGAATGGCTCACACTTACAAAGAAGCCATCATGTCCATCACCATCACTGCCCTGACGGATGTCCTTAAGTTCTTCATCGGTGTCATGTCCGACTTCCCGTCGGTGCAGTCTTTCTGTCTGTACACTGCCACTTCCATTTTGTTTTGTTACATTTACACAATCACCTTCTTTGGAGCGTCAATGGCTTTGCACGGCAGGCGAGAGGAAAGCAACCGGCACTGGCTGACCTGCATGAAGATACCTTTAGACAACTCAGACAATCACTCCGAAATATACAACATCTGCTGTGTGGGAGGCTACTACGATAAGGACACAGGAGCAGAGAAAAAACAAGTAGCAAGTAAATTTTTTATGGAGTACTATGGCCCGTTTTTAACCAAACCGCTGGTCAAAGCTCTGGTCATGCTCCTTTATGTGGCGTATTTAGGTACAAGTATTTTTGGGTGTTTCCACATTCAGCAGGGGATTGAGCTTTATGATCTGGCAGCCGATAACTCCCACGTTACAAGATTCATCAAGAAGGACCGGCAGTATTTTTCTGACTATGGTCCATCTATTATGGTGATCGCAACAGAGGAATTCCCATACTGGGATCACAACAAACGGTGCCAGCTTCAAGCATGCATAGAGGACTTTAAAGAGCTCCAGTTTGTGGATCGGGACATTTATACCTCCTGGTTGGACTCTTATCTCCTTTACGGACAAGAGAGGCATCTAAACTTTGACGACAAAGATGCTTTTCTTTCCAATCTGCCTCCATTTTTTGATTCATACCCCCTTTTCAAGCAAGATGTGAACCTGACTGGTGCTGTCATCCACGCATCCCGGTTCTTCATACAGACTATTAATATAGCTAATGCTAGCAAGGAAATAGAAATGCTTAAAGGCCTCACATCTGTTGCAGGCAGATGCAGAGTTGCATCTTTATCGGTCTATAACCACGAGTTCATCTTCTTGGACCAGTACAGTGTTGTGGTGAGCAGCACCATCAAGAATGTCAGCGTGATCACAGTTGTGATGCTGGTCGTCTCTCTCCTGCTCATTCCAAATCCAATCTGCTCCCTATGGGTGACATGTTCCATTGGTTCTGTGACGGTCGGCGTAACAGGGTTCATGGCGCTTTGGGACATCGGTCTGGATTCAATATCCATGATTATTTTTACCGTCTGCATCGGCTTCACGGTGGACTTCTCTGCTCACGTGGCTTACGCCTTCGTCTCCAGCAAGAAGTCCAATCCTAATGAAAAGGCTGTGGACGCTCTGTCCAATCTGGGTTACCCCATACTCCAAGGAGCAGTGTCCACCATTTTAGGGGTGTCGGTGTTAGCCATGTCTGAATTCAACACCTTCAGAACCTTCTTCAAGATCTTTTTTCTCGTCATGTTCATCGGGATGGTTCATGGACTCGTCTTCATCCCGGCAGTCCTGTCAACTTTCAGTGCGGAGAAAGATGAAAAGGAAGATTTAAAAACAAGTAAATTTTGACCACTTAAAGTGTAGTGGGACATTTTAGGCCAAAGGATTTGTTTACATCCTATTACACATGTTGAAAACATTTATTTTTAGTTACAACAAAATAGAGGAGTATAAAAACTGCTTGAACAGAATATATTTTTCCAATTTTTCGTTGTTCATCTGTTTTAAAATAAATCATGTTTTAATGTAATTTAATACAAGTACTGTAAGTTATTCATTATTTATGTTCAATGTGTTGTTTTTGTTTTATTGACGTTTATAGATGCCTTTTTAAGATAATTCAGTCACACCTTGCAGTTTAGTTATTAATTAATATAACATTATTTACAGCTAATTACCTTTGTTTTATTATACTCTACTTAATACATATTTTTTCCATGTTGTATCAAACTGCATTTCTACATTTTGTGCACAAATAAATCCTAGAAAAATAAAAACCTGAGCCATACATGTGATATGAATTTATTCACAAATACTCATTGCAATATGTAGAAGTCTTCTAAAACAATTCAATTCAATTCAAAAATAATTTATTAATCTGAGAGGGAAATGAAATGTTGTAGCTCATCATCCTGGTTTTATTAGAGTTGTTCTAGATGCTGATGGCTCTGGGCAGGAAGGATCTCTTGTAGCAGTCTGTCTTAGAGCAGATCTGAGAAAACTGGCTGCAGATGTTGATCTATCTACTTGGACTTGATGGATTTCTCGATCTTCTTGAGCAGCAGGACCACCTGAATCTTGGGCAGAACTCCTCCCTGGGCGATGGCCACTCCTCCCAGCAGTTCATTGAGCTTCTCGTCATTGCAGACAGTCAGCTGCAGGTGTCAGAGGATGATCCTGGTCTTCAGTCACAAGCCGTGTTTCCCACCAGCTCCAGGATCTCCGACAGGTAGACGGGGATGCATCCATGGCACCTCCTTTTTAACTAATTTGTGATTTGGGGCTTAGCTGATGTATTATTTGAGCTTTTGAGATGTTAATTAGCTGCTCCCAATTGTAAAAAAACACCTTGTTGTCATGGTTACGCATCATAACAAATGTCCAAAAGCAAAAAGGTTTCAGTAAAAATCCTTCAAGCTGCACAGCATCTGATACCAGAGGAAATAATCATCCAAAAAATTTGATTTACATCCAGATAAAAAAAAGGAATTAAAGATTTCAAAAGCAACATCCCAGAATGAAAATAACAGAGCTGCTCCAACATGCGGTGCAATTCTGGAACTACTTCTTGTAACATGAAAAACAGTACTTATAAAACAGTACTTCTTGTAACACGAATATTATAAAAAGATATGCCACGGTTAATTAATGTTTTGCAAAGACATCGCTGGACACTGAAGGCATTTAAATTTGGTAACAAAAATGAAAATAAGGCAACATTGCAATATTTTAGCTTTTATTTCCAGACCCCCCCCCCAAAAAATAAATAAATAAATAAATAAATAAATACAGTTTTTATAAAAACCAGCCATTTTTCATGACAGCAAATATGTACTATGTGGTTTATTTATAGGTGTTTGTTTGTTTTGTTTTTTGACTAAAATGTCACTGCTGAAATAATTTAAAGAGTTTTTAATATTTGCTATATCTCTAAATAAATTACCGTATTTTTCAGATTATAAGGCGCATTAAGCGAAACTAAAACATTTTGACAAATTTTTGAGCACGGTGTACCACATAAAATCAGTTCGAGGTCAGTAAGCACAACCAGAATTAATACATGAGGTGCACCGGATTATAATGCTCACTTTTGATTTTTGAGAAAATTAAAGGATTTTATGTGTGCCTTATAGTCTGAAAAATACGGTATATAAATTTAAATATATATATATGTAGCGTATATCTATAAAATAAAGTTTTCCCAGTGGCAAAGTGAACATTTGCTGTCTTGAAAAATTATTTAAGTTGTGGTTAAAGACTGCAAAAAAATACAATGAAAAACAAAAATGGGAAATTGTGTTGCTTGTAGGAGGTATTAGAAGTCAAGAATTTTATATTAAATATGAAGTTTAATTGTGAAATGTATACTTTCAGTCATCCTCTGCAGTCTGTACATGACAGCACATTCAGTGTCCTTAAAAAAGAAAGGGAAGAAGAAAACAAACAAAGATCTTCATTTTGTTAACAAGTTTTAAGTGAATAACTTTTTAAGAACCATTACATTAGTGTTAAAATATACTATTTACTTTCAAACTGGTATGTTGCTTTTCATTCAGCTAACAAAGTGTGTGAATGTGAGGGACAGGTCGCTACAGTAGTTAATTACTAGTCAAGTACTAGCTAGTTAGTAACGTGCTCACTGCCTATATAGCTAGTATTTTAGCTATACGTAAACTGTTTCAGTCTGTTTTTTGCTAAGTTGCCTTCATTTTGGTCAACACAATATTGGCTCATTTATGAAACAGGGTCTTTGTTGTGTCTGAACGATTAATAGGTCAGATTCAAGTAGCGTAGCCTAAGAAACAAAAACTCAAAAATAACGATTTTGAACAGTTAGAGTCAAGGTTCTTTATTTGTCATTCCACCACACGTGACACAAGAGGTGGAACGAAATTGTGTACACAGGGTCCCAGTTACATCCAACAAAAGTATTAAAATGTAAAAGGAAAAACAGTAATAAGAGCTAAGACAGAACTGAGAAAAAGGTTAACTAAAAACACACCAATCACTAATAGCATAAAAACATTACGTCAAACAGCAGCACGAACATGAGTCAGATGAGCATGAATGAACACAGCAACATGAAACAGATCAGCAGCAACATGATGTGATTTTTTTATATTATCCTGGTTGGATATTCATGAGTCTAACAGCCTCATGGTATAAGCTGTTCCTCAGTCTACTGGTTCTACACTTAATGCTCCTCAACCTCCTTCCTGAGGGGAGTGAGGCAAAAGGTTTGTGTGCTGGGTGAGTGAGGTCCTTCATGATGCAGGTAGCTCTCTTCCTGCATCTAGAGGTGTAGATGTCTGTGATGGTGGGGAGACTGACCCCAACAGACTTCTGTGCAGCCTTCACCGCTCTCTGCAAAGCTTTTCTTTCTGCAGCTGTGCAGCCTCCATGCCACACGTTGATGCTGGAGCACAGGATGCTCTCCACTGCACACCTGTAGAAGGAGGTGAGGACTGAGCTTCTCAGACCAGCTCGTCTCAGCCGTCTGATGAAGTAGAGTCTCTGATGAGCTTTCTTGATCAGACTGGTGGTGGTGTTGCTCTAGCTGAGGTTGTCATTCATGTGTACACCCAAGTACTTGTAGCTGGAGACCACAGATCCTCCTATGTTCGTGGGTGGGGGTAGGTGTGTTTGTGATTTCTGACGTCCATGACCATCTCTGTTGTCTTTTTCACATTGATGTGAAGTCCACCTCTTGCCTGTTTTATTGTTGTATTTATTGATGTTGTTTAATTTATTGATATTTTTACATTTTAAGACAAAATAAAAGATGCCATTCTTGTAAAGAAGGAAAAATAATATCGTTTTTGCCCAATTTCTAAAAACTAAACAGTAAACTATGCAGACCTATGTGATTTTTTTATTGTAGAAAAATTAAGTATGCTACTTTGAAGAAATAAAGCGTAAAGTGAAGGTGAGTATGTTTTACTCCTTGTAATGTTTCTAGTATTCACATTTTTGAAAAATAAATTACAGGAAAACTGCTAAAACTAGCTCTTTTAGTTGTTATAACAACCAACAATTCAGTTTTATGTTAGTTTTGGTCAAAGGTTGAAAGAGCCGCTGCAGAGGGACCAAAGAGTCGCATGTGGCTCCAGAGCCGCAGGTTGCAGATACCTGCCATTTGAGTCAACCCTGTTTGGCTGTTAGCAAAATATTTCATGAACTGGGCAGATTTAAACGAAACTCTCATAAAGTAATGCTTGTAAGTCCATCCATCCATCCATCCATCCATCTCCATCCATCCATCCATCCATCCATCTCCATCCATCCATCTCCATCCATCCATCCATCCTCTTCCACTTGTTCTGGAGTCAGCTGGGCAGCAGCTTGAGCAGGTAGGCCCAGACATCTCTGTCCCCATGCAGCCACCTCTTCCAGCTCTTCTGGGAAGACATCAAGATGTTCTTTCAGCTTCAGCTCCCTCTTCACCACAGCACTGAGTCTGTAATACTTCAGAAGCTGCAGCGATCTGTCTGCTGGTCTCACTCCATTCTTCCCTCACTTATGAACAAAAGGCACTTTAACTCCTCCACGAGGCAGCACCTCGAAGTCAGAGAGGGCATCATGGTACCACTGATTAACTTTTGGAGCCAGTCTAATTCCAGATGGCCCCTACAACTGATCAACCTTAGCAAACACAAACGTGTTTGTAACTCAGTCAACATTATATCGAATGAGTTACAAGTTTACTTACGGAGAGTCACAACACACTTCCAGTGCAACTTGCACAATATTTGCATTGAGTTATTGTCAAAGTTATATTTTTCAACATTATTTGAGATTAAAAACTCTGTCATGAAAGGTGGTGGAGGGTGGGGACATGCGTTCCTCCAATAAAGGTTTAATTTTAACTTTGTGCTTGAGGTTCGGATCAAGTTTGATGCGCTTCTCTAAGGCTCATCAGACACCTCTTGGTGTTGATCAATGGATCAAACTCTTAATTGTGATGAACGAGTCTGCTGGTTTCAGGACCGCGGACTGGCAGAAGAAAAGCTCCCAGTGCTCATGAGGCGACGGAGAACCCGGACTCTGGATCCTGATGTGTCTGCAGCTGTCGGAAGAGGGCGGAGTGCGTTTGTCATCCAAATGAGAAGCTCCCTGACTCTTTAAAATATATAAATATAACAACCGGCTCACCTCCCTCCCTCTCCATTTAGTCCTCCCTCTCGTCCTCCCTCCTCCTTTTGATTCAGTCTATCACGCGCAGAAAGGAGCACATCCGCCGCGCAGCAAAAACCAAGACTGTCTACAGAGTAAGAGGAGGAGGAGGAGGGGGCAACAGCTGCAAGCGGATCTTCAACATCAACAAGCTGCATCTGTGAGGAAGAAGACGGGATCTGGAGAGGCCATTGAACGGATCTCTGGCTGCTTCAACAACAGGCGAGGTTTAAAATCAAATCCTACAAGTGGTGATGCGATGGTTTAGCGGAGCAATTTGGTAGATTAGACGACGCAGAACGAGAAATCCCCCCCTCCCTGAAAAATAAAAATAGAAACATCTGGAGGCTTTGTGTAGGGGACATGGCTGTTTTCCGGCTGTCGCTGCTGCTGCAGGTGGGATTCGTGCTCGGATCGAGCCACATATCCGCGGACTGGTCAGGCAGCAGCGCGCGGGAGGCGAGCCCCGGCGCTCGGACGCACGGCCGGCAGCTGGCGCAGCTCAGTGCGCAGCAGGCGGCGGGGCCGCCGCAAAGCATCACGGAGGCGCACCTCCCCAGAGTGGTCACGGCTTTCCTGCACACGGGGGACTCGACCACCCTACAGCACGCCAACTGCTCGCGGAAGTTCGAGCTCCCCTACGTGCGGGGAAGGGCGCCGCACGCGGCCCCGCATCACTCCATGAGCGGCGTGCTGGACTCGGTGCTGCACGCCACCAACTTCCTGAACATGATCCTGCAAGCCAACAGGTCCAGGGAGCACAACCTCCGGAGAGACATCGAATGGTACCACGCCTTGGTGAGGAGCATCCTGGAGGGGGACACCAAGATCCACCGGGCGGTGGTGACCTTTGGCGGGGGGGCATCCTTCGCGGGGCCCTCGGTGCTCCTCCAAGCCACCAGGGCCGGGGGGGAGATCGTGCTCCAGGACCTCTCCGGCAGCGTGGCGCACCGCCGCCTGCACAACCGCAGCGCAGAGACGGAGTGGTACCACGAGATGAAGGACGGGAGGAACACCAGCTTCCACAAAAGGCTCCTGAGCCAAGATGTGCAGGATGCTGGGAGGAGGCGAGCGGAGAGCTTCATCCCGGACAGAGCCCACGTCAGGTGGTCTGCTCCTTACCTGGAGTGTGAAAATGGGAATTTTGTTCCTCGCTGGCTTTTGACTTTATCCGCTGCTTTTTACGGCTTGAAGTCCAACCTGGCGCCTGAATTCAGGTAGGAACACAAAATGATGTCTTTTTATTAACCCCCCCCCCCCCCCCCAAGCTTCCCAAATATATTCTTTGAAATCAGGAGCTGTCACTTTTAAAACAAATTAGTGATGTCATGAAGGTGAGCTTTAAACATCCCCAAATCCCTTCATGTTATTGTACCTGTTCCAAATATAGGGTAGCCTCTCACCGACATCCCCCTTGTTACAGGAGGGGGGGGGGGGGGGGTTTCTCCTCTCTAGTCTGACAAGGCGGGGGGAGCTAAAAATAACCCTGATGTTACTGGATGTAGCTGCCGTGGAAACCTCTGGCTACAGGCCCTTCATTCTTCAGACTCACTTGTCTGGATGCTTTCCTATGAATGAAATGTTTAAAATCTGCTTTAGAACACTTAATAATAATAATAATAATAATAATAATAATAATAATAATAATAATA